TTGTAACCATAGTTATAGATGTCTTACCCCCCCCCCCACACACACACACATTACACACACGCGCACACACAGAATTGTGCTTTGGGAGTGGGGAGGGAGCAAAGACAAGGGTTGACGATGTAGGCTTTACTGATACACACACACACACACATATATATTATATCTAATTTATGGATTTAAGCCCCGTCCAATGGCGTCCGTCTTCGGTTTTTACTAACTTAAAACCTACACCGTGTTCCTCTTGCTTCAGGAATAAAACGGCCCCTTACCCCTCCTTCCTTGGTGGTTGCTTGCAGTTTGCGGCACCTGTCGACCTTTTGAACCCAGAACTCCCTGCCTGTCCTCACATCAAAGATGGCGTAGTAGAGAATCTTTGCTCACATGGCGTCACGATATTTTTGTAACGTTTTTGTGGCGTCGGTTGCCTAATGCCAGTAATGGTTAGGCTTGGGGTTCGAATCTCGCCAGGGGCCTGACGTTATGTCCTTGGGAAAGGCATTCATTAGTGATTAGGTGTAACTAATAAAAATAAAATAGATGATTATTCTTAACAAAAAGAAATAAACTGATTATACGTCGTCTATAACATTAATGTAGACATAATCATGATTGCACATACATGTAATAACGTTTTATGTTTATTTATTTTTAAGTACAGTGCAACAGACATATTATGTATAGGTTTGGGATTATAACAGTAAAGTGCATATTGTGTAGAACAGTACATAATTGTGTGTTGGGCCAACATAATATATGCCTAACAATAAAACAGACTTACAATTAATTTGACAACGTGTTGTGCATTACAACAGAACACAATACATTGTATTTTATAGGTTACTGTGTTTTGTATTACAATTCAAACAGACATATTTATGTATTATGTATAACAATGTATAGCGTGATGATATTGTGTTGATGTGCTTTCCTGTACTCAAACTCAAACCGTCGCAGGGGACACATTTGAGTCACCCTGACGCTATTACTCGCGCTGGAATATCGGAAAGGGGGGAGGGGGGGGGGATTTGTACGTTAACAATGTATCTCGTGGACAACCTTTGGTATCATTATCCAGGCAGATTTCCCATACAGCGACTAAAGTCTCATGGGATTTCTACCTCACAGACGAGTTCACTCAGTCTTTATTGATTTTCGCTTTATTTTGCCTTCCCTGATTACGGCAGACTTTGATGAAAGAAGATGTCGTCTATTGGGGACACAGTTTCATCTGCTCACCCCCCACCCCAGACTTATCGATCTAACAGTAACAATAATGTTGCCACTTTTCCCCTTCCATTTTTACATGGTGAG